GTGTGTGTGTGTGTGTGTGTGTGTGTGTGTGTGTGTGTGTGTGTGTGTGTGAGAGAGTGTTTGTGGTGGAATAAGGGCCGTCTGTACCAGGGCCGAGGGTACGGAACATCCCTCAAGCACACAGATGCTCTCTTGGGACTCTGATTCTGATAAGTGTTGCCCACTGCATGCTTGAGTGTGTGTGTGTGTGTGTGTGTGAGCGCGAGTCTGGATGTCTAGACAATAATTTTTCAATCCCAGTCCTGGGGACGCCCAGGACACAAACACAACACACACACAGATAAATTGAAAACGTACGGATAGGAATGCACACACACGCCAATAAACCACTAGAGAAAACCTAGCAGAAATTAGAGATGCAAGACTATGCATTTTCAAAGTCAACAGTAGACAGTAGAACCCACAGAGAGTCATTATTTTACAGTCTTTCATAGAAAAATGTATAACTTACAATTATACTTATAATTAAAACCTATTTGTAAATATATGTATATATGTAAACTATATGAAAAGTATATATAATTATATATTTAAAAAGTCGCTGGGGTATATTTGTAGCAATTGCCAAAAACACATTGTATAGCTCAAAATTATCGATTTTTCTTTTATGCCAAAAATCATTAGGATATTAAGTAAAGATCATGTTCCATGAAGATATTTTGTAAATTTCCTACCGTAAATATATGAAAACTTAATTTTTGATCAGTAATATGCATTGCTAAGAACATAATTTGGACAAATTTAAAGGTGATTTTCTCAATATTTAGATTTTTTTGCACCCTCAGATTCCAGATTTTCAAATAGTTGTATCTCAGCCAAATATTGTCCTATCCTAACAAACCATACATCAATGGAAAGCTTATTTATTCAGTTTTATTTATCATTTATTCAGATGTATTTAAAAATGACTGGTTTATGCATTTACATGCATATACATATATGCATTTATGTACTCATATATTATTGTATATATTTTTATAAAAACACATTTTTCAAAATATGTATTTATAAAATTAAGTGTATTTGTAAATTATATAAACTTATAAAAACAGATTTTAAATTTTTTTTGACAAATCGACACACACAGTACATACTTATAAAAATATATACATATTTGTTTTACAAATTAATATTTTTTTATGTGTGTATATATATATATTGGTTTACAGATATATACATATTTTTCACTGAAGGTTGAACGCTCAAAAACAGGCCAAAGCCGCCCTTCTGAATGTGTTTGAAAGGGGATGAATTCAAAGACGTAACGTATCTGGGCTGATTTTATTGTGAAAACAGCTGCTTGAAACACCAAACTAAACACAAAGAAATCTAGATGAACTAGTCAGCCACACTCAAGTGTAACTGGAAAACAGATCTGGTCTCTCTGCTACAATGCCGCTTATTCTTCATCCACACCAAGTAAGTTGTATACCATTGTATACGCTGTAAACCAGTGACAAGAATGTCTAGCTCCTCATAATGCTGTTCACACCGAGATGATCTGACAATATCCATCAGCTCATCCATGAGCGATCTCTATCGGCCCTCGTCCTCATTCATCTGCTCATTAACATGATGGATGCCGTCTGTGAGATCCGAAACACTGAACATGTGAAAGAACACGCAATTACACAGCAGACCAACGGCACATACCGGCCACTTTTCCACTGATTTAGGGCGATCAGAGGGGATTGTGGGTAAGGATGGGAAGTAACGAGACGAATGGTGGAGATTTATTCCGGTCTTTCAGGCCGTATATCAGAGACAGATCTGTGTGATTTCCTGTTCTTCCGCAGATGTCATTAGCGTGTGTGTTATAAAGCGTAGTGAATGGCCCTGAAGGAGTCGTTTGTGATAATGAAGACGAGGCCTGACCTGCTCTCAAACATGATCGCTCGCGTGTTCAGACACCCGCTACTCGCTGCATATCAGACACACTCCTTCCTGCAGCTGATCAGATCAAGCACAGCTTCATTCACCAACATGCAGGTACAACATATAGCAAACACTGCCAAACGGCAAATAAGAACCCAAAACATCAACACTAACTTTATTGTGAAGAAGTACATATTTACACACACACACACACACATATATATATATACACACACACACACA